TGTGTCATGTATCTAAATGTGATAGCATATACACTGTAAGTACAGTATATATAAAAGGGTTATTATCACTTTACCTCCTTAGCTATATTACTATTACCAGTTTACCCCCTAACGTTATCTTTTAGTCACTTTACCTCCATAAGTAATTCAACTCAATATATTAAGAAATTTTAGACAAAAATACCCTTTTATTTTATAACATTACTACATTGTTATTATCACTTTATTCGTTTAGATTATAGTGATACAATCACTTTAGTTCCTAGCATTATTTTCTAGGCATTTTACCTAATCGTTAATCTAACTACTATGGTAAAAAAAATTTAAATATATTTACCCTTTTTTATATATAATTAAAAATAAAAAAGTTGGAATAGTTATTCTTCCTTTTTTTTCACTTTAAAAGATCAAAAAACATAAAAATAAAAGGGGTTTCTCAAATTTCTTTTTTTCACACTTATTAATACTCGAAAAAGAAAAAGAGATGGGAAAGAAGGAGACAGAAAATTAGATTTTGTAAAAAAAGAAAATAAAGAAAAGTATAACGTTATCGTATTATTTTAAGGTTGTCGAGATTAGGATTGGAATTTGGTAGTAAACAGAAACATGAAATAATTTTAAAATAATAAAAGTATTCAATTCTTTCTTATTTGTAATTTTTAAAAAAAGAATTGAGCTCTCTCTCTCCCTTTCCTCTCCCCCTCTCCATCTTTCTATTTTTTTTCAATATTAATAAGACTGTCAAGAAAAAAGAAATGAATTCTTTGACTTTTTTCTTGATACTAAAAAGGAGAAGAGCCACACTAAATTTTTTATTATTTTTATTATGCAAAGAGAAGGGTATTTGCTTCTAAAGTTTTTTAACTTGTTAAGTTGGTTTAATGGTAAGATAAATTGCCTAAAAAAATAATTCTAGGGGATAAATTGATAATGAGATTATACTTTATGGGAGTAATGTGATAATCATTTTAAGGGTTAAACATGTCTTTTTACTTTAATTAATAAACTCCGTTAAATTTGACTGTTAGTCTTGATGGTAAAGTGACTAAAAGATAATGTTAAGGAGGAAATTGATAGTGACACCAAACGTTAAGGGGGTAAATGATAGGGTGTTAATTGTTAGTAATTTTATTGTTAAATTTTCCCTTTATCCATGCCAAATATTATTTTAATTGTTAACATATATTTATATTTGGCATTTGAACTCAATTTTAGGAAGTGGAGCAGAAAAGAGAGATCTTTTTGCAACAAATACTCCACACGTGGGAAGTTTTTAAAAAAAAATACAAGCCAGGCTCCACGGGTGTAATTGTGCTGGAATTGATGATTGTAGTGGACTCATCCATTTTGATGATTGCAGTGGAATTGATGATTGTGCTGGAATTTATTGGGATGTTGTTTTCTTTCATTATCCAGCGGGGACCACGTAGGATAGGTAATGGATTGCTTTAGACATTTGGTACATCTTTTGGGAGATATTATTGATTAGCTATGGTTGGCTTTTGATCATGAGATCACTTTTCCATTTGCTCCTACAAGACTAGTTTTCTCCTATGAAACTAGTGCTCCAATAAAATAAGAGGGAGCTATTAGACTAGTTGGCTTATATATAAGAGGCTACGGAGTGGAATATAGGCAGTCCTCTGTTTTTAGAATAGGAAATTGTTCCTTCTCTTGTTTTGTGGTGTGCAGGTTTTCTTCAAGGAGTCTACGGAGACTCAAAGTCTCATTCTAGATTATTAGCGAGTTATATATGTCTTTGAATTCAATTAAATTGTGTGAAAATTTTCTTATGAGGCGTGGCTAATCTTCTCATCTAGTCAAGGAGCAACGCTACGACGCAGTCCTAAATATCTGTGAGATCGAATTAATTTTCATGTGTTCCTTAATTTGTTAATATTTGCATGTTTTCTATTTGAATTTCCATGGGATTATTTTGTTAATTGGATATCAAGGGGCCGATGTGCAATTTGACTTATTAATCTCCTGTCAAATTAATCAATTAAATCCATAATTGTTTAATTGGTTAATATTAGTGGCAGCTAGTATTTCACATACTAGGGGAACGTGCAATCTGATTTATATAACCCTCGTAGCGTGTTATTAATTTAGGTTAGGTTTTTCTAGTTTTTAAGGCAATTAGGAAATTAATTTCTACAGTCATACCTAGGACATAGCTAATAATTTCATCCTTGGCCAAATAGAATGTAACAAGTTGAAGTTAAAGAGATTTAAGATGTTCAAATCTTTCAGTAGTTCAGAGAGGCAGAGAAAACACAGAATTTTGGTCTCTTCCAATTTGTTCAGCAATCAGCATGCTACACCAAAGGGGGGAAAAAGTTTTGGTAATTGATTTTTGAAATACATATCAAGAATGCAGATAATAAACTATCAAAACTGCCCTAAAGATGAACAAGCTAAATTATTACCTTACTTTCTGCAGCCCGAGCAGGAGATGAGTAAAAACTTATGTTTGGGAAACCTGGGGAGAACCACCTATTGGTGAAGCCTCCATCAAAGCTAGCGCTCTCTAATCTGCAAAATTCTCATCATTGATTACTAGCTTCATCTTCAAACCTGTCTAGTCAGTGAAAATAACTTCTGCCCCCTGGCAATCTTGTAAGAAATGCAACAGCAAAGGTGGTGTCTTTATCCAACAACATGAGGTCTGCTTTTTGACTCTGGAAAATACCATCATAATGTTACATTTCAGTATGAATTTAGTTATGACCATGGTTCAAAGTCGCGGTCGCGGCCTGGACTGTTCCACATCGGTCTCAGCATATCGATCGCGGTCTCGGCGAGACGCGAATTTTTGAAATATTTAATATTTTAAAAATTATAAAAAATATGATAAACAAAAATAATTTAAAAAATTAGTAAAAATAATAAAAATTCGAATTGATTCGGGATGACTCGAAGTGATTTGATGTGACTCGGCCGTTTCAACCTTTCACGGTGACGTTTCGACGAGTTGAGTATTTCGATAACGTTTCGTCACGGTATCGTATCGGCGAAGGCCGAGACGGTGACGACTCGGCTGAGTCATCTCAGTCTCGGCCGAGTTTTCGAACCATGGTTATGACAGCTAAGGAATGCAAATAAAAGGTATGGTCTAGTAACCAGTAAAATAAAATGGAAAAAACCAGCTTCTTTCACAATCAAATGACATGTTAAACACCTAGTAAATGTACAATCTTAAGGATTAAAAACCAAGCTATATAGCATAGGACAAACATTCAAAAATACATGAAAGTGTGTGAAAACACCCTGTTTTCACACAAGCATACTTTGATAAAAACTTGCACCAATTCCCTTGTATTTTTAATAAATTGAGTGGAGGTTAAAAAGAGTTCTTGGGGAGAGAAGCTGATGTTTGAGAACCATCATACCTCCTGGTTTCTCCTTCTTCAGCAATGATGGGAAACAACATGAAACTAATGTTAGAGCACCATTATTGGCTTCTTGTTCGTTGTCACCGCTTGTCTACAAGGTAACAATACAGTAATTCAGCTCATAGAACAAAAAAGTAAGGTAATTGTGATGTACGAACTTGTGGAAGATGATAAACAAACATCCCATATTATTGTCATTCTTATGAAGCATGCATCAACAATTGTAAGGGGTAAAGACTTGCAGCACTCTAGTTCCTCAATAAACATATTTGAGCTTCAAGGAGATTGATATAATTTTATGGCAATAAGAGCATAGAGTCCCAAAGAATAGCAAAGTTTCTTCACAACTGTTTCTTGATTAGCTTTAATGTTGTCTATTTAGACTGGCAATATCAGTGACAGAAAAATGAAGAATGCGTCCATGTACACCTCACATTGCACATCAAATGAAACACTTTCCAACACATTCAAACAAAGAGGCTAATTGTGTATGCACCGTTGCTAATAATTTCGTCCTTGGCCAAATAGAAGGTAACAAGTTGAGTTTTTAAGATGTTCAAAATCTTTCTGTGGTGAGATGCAGAGAAAATCCAGAAATTTGGTCCCTTCCAATTTGCTCAAAACCAGGCTTTGTTAAAACTAATCTTTGAAGAGAAACCAAGGTTTGCCCAAAAGAAGAGAATTAATTACGGAGAATAACTTTGGGGAAAAGAGATAGAGAAAAAGAGTATAAGAGACTGAAGAGGAAAATATATGTCAATGAGATGCATATACAAAAAATTTATATACATATATATGAGTGTGAACTTTAGATAGGACAATCTTACAAAATAACTTGAAATCTACTCCTCCAAATTTATATACATATATATATGAGTGTGAACTTTGGGGAGTTTATCGTTGTCTTAATAGAGGACACCGATAAACTTCAACACGAGTTAACTTGGTGAGGCGTCTCATGGCGGTCTCGGATGGTAAAGATCGAAGCTTTTTGCAATTCGATAGCTCTAGGTCTTCAAGGGACACAAGGTTTCCAATCCAATCCGGTTGCACTTCTAATCCTCCAAAGTCAGCCAGACGTAGTGAAGTGAGGGTAGTAAAGTATTGAAGCTGGTGTGCCAGGGACTCCGTGTGAAGCAGCCCTTCCAATCGAAGCTCACAGAGTGTTGATACAGACCTTAAACCAGACCAATCAAAATCATCGATTGAGGAGTCATCTGAGAAGAAGGGACTGTTGATGCTCAAACTAATCAGTTTTCTTAAGTTGGTGGCAAAAGCAAATCCTTTGAACCAATGAGGGATCAATTTGGGAGAGTCGATTAAGACGAATTGCTTGAGAGAAGGTGTCTCCTGCAAATTAAGTGAAAACGACACCAGATTGGGGCAATCCTCCACATACAGGTATTGCAGAGACGGGCATGACTCGAACATTTTGTCGGGTATAGTGGTCAACTCATCGCAATATTGAATACTCAATCGCTCAAGACAGGGTAGGGGGCATTTCTGTCCATTTACTCCCAGACTGATTAATCTTGCGTATTTATAGATGACCAGCCGCTGCAAACTCGATCCAAACACATCTTCTGGCAGCTCTCTAAGATAGTCTCAAAATTGAATACTCAACTCCTCAACAGAAGCAGTGCCGTAACCCGTTTTTATACTTGTTAGATTGTGAGAATACCTCACGTCTAGACTTTTACCTGAGCATGGGAAAGTGGTCAGTTGTGGGCAACTTTCAATGCGAAAATCACTCAGTATGGGAAAGGCATCAACTTCTGTTTCACCTATGGTTGATCTCACTGGGTCTGCATCCTTCCACTCTACCAAATTTCTCATATTTTTTACATTCAGTTCTTCAAGGGCCGGAAAGAATTTTCGCCTTCTAATGCTGCTCCCTGATGCTCGTGATCTGCCTTCCTCCTCATTAGTAGTAATACTGTAGAATTCATCTCCAAAATATCGAATGTTGTTCAAGCTTTCCAGATGGAGACCTTTGAGCGATGGTAGTTGTCCTAATGCAGGGAGTTCACTACATCTCTGGCAATCTTTTATTCGCAACTCCACCAATTTTGACAAATTCATAAACCATTGCGGAAATTTATTACCCATAAAAGAATAAATCCTCAACTTTTCCAAATTTGGGTGAGGTTGGAGACCTTCCAACACATCCTCATCATGGTTATCACTTTTTTGATCCCTTCTATTCCATTCAAATTCCAAGCGAGACAGATCTGGCTTTTCGAACAATTTTGCTCTTTTAGCTGCTTCTTTGCCTTTCACTAGTTCAAGATTCCTTATCTCCAACAATCCTTTCAGATATTTCAAGGTCCCAAGCTCTTCAATGCCACATCCGCTCTCTTGACTTACATCAAAGAATTTCAGAGTTTGAAGACAAGTCAATTGTCCTATCTGCGCCGGCATTTTAAATTATGCATGATAATCATAGTAGTCTAGATGTCTCAAGCTAATCAAATCGCTCATCCGTTTCGGAAAACCTCCTTCAAGTGCACGATCTCTCATCGTTAGAGTTTGCAAATTATATAGCTTACAAAGAGTTTCTGGCAAACTTGTGATTACCGCAAATGTAGTAACTCGCCAATAGAGCTAGGCAGAAACATGACAAAATATCCAAACAATTTGAGAACATGCAAGTGCTTGAATCTTGATAACATGTTAGCAGATATGCCACCCTATAAATGGAGAAATAACGAACGGATTGATGCTGCTTTATTCCTTCTGACATTTTCTTCCATTTCTTCATATGAGTGTAATGCAAGGTAGCGATCCTAGCTACTACATTTAGGATTGAGAACTGATTTTGCAAAATCATGCACGAGATCATGCATTTTATAATATGTGCTTCTCTTATCTACGACTTTTTCTAGTAAGGAACTTTGTAACAAAATCCTTAAATACTCGCCTCCTCTTTCCTCCATCATTCTTGTGTTTTCCTGATATGGTAGAACAAAACCTTCAGCAACCCAGTGCTCAATTAGTTCATCTTCTCCTAATTCAGTGTCTTGGGCAAAAATTGAGCAATATGCAAAACATTTCTTAACTGATGGAGGTGATAAATGATCAAAGCTCACCTTAAGTATTTGATCGATCTCACTTTGATCTTCATTCAAGAGTGCCACTTCTCTCTTCTGTTGTTAAGCAACAAGCTACCAATCAAACTTGCCGCCAAGGGTAGGCCATCGCATCTCTTTAAAATTTGCTCTTGTATTGCTTCCAATTCTTTTGTTACTTCTTCCCCTGCGAGCACCTTTCTTTTTATGATGGACCAGCAGTCATCACCTGATAGTTTTCCTAAGAAATAAGGACCATCATGTTGGGTGTGAGTCAGCCCATTTGTGCAAGAAAGCAACGCTTGAGGGTTTATCAAGCTTAAATACAAATAGCAGCCGCAAGATGCATTTGGTCTTTGTGCGAGAAAAAAGAGCCAACTGCCACTTTTGAGAGACACGAAGAGAGAGAAACAGCTAGAGAGAGAGAAACTTCAAGGTCTTGATTGGAGGGTGATTTGAAACCCGATTGAGACGAAATTTTACACACGCAATCCTCTTGTCAAACTCTACTCATCTACCGATTCAGATTTCAGATTTTCTCTTCGTTGGTAACACCTTATCAAACCCACTTCTTTGACAGTTGTAATTTTTGGGGGTGATTTTGTAGCAGATTGGCTTGGTTGGTATTGGTGATATTGTTGTCACTCGAATATTTTGGATAGACCTGTGTATTCCCATTATTGTGATAGTGGAGATTTTTGACTGGACTAGATCCCGTAATTTTTTCCAATTTGAGTTTTTCACGTAAAAATCTTGGTGTCCTGTGCCTTTTATTTTTTCTTGCATTTTATTATCACTGCTGGTATTATTACTTGGTGATTTGGTTTATTCCTATTTTAACTGCTATTTGGGAAAAGAAAAATTTGTCCTGAGCTAACTCTGATATTGTGTGCCTCTACCGGTACCCCTTTCCCAACAAGTGGTATCAGAGGAGTCAAGTTGGACTGTTCAATTGTACTAGTTAAAAATGGATGATTCGGATAGTGGTTGCATGATAAAATTGAATGCTACTAATTGATAGAACGGTTTTTTGGCGTATTTTACACTGTTATTTTGTCCTAATTTTGGCTATTCACGGTACTAAGAATTGGAATTTCACTCATATTCGATATTTGTATGAATTGTAGGTGGTAGGCATGAAAAATGATCTCGCGGGGTAAATTTCCAGAAGACTTTTCGTCTCAGGGCGTGGCCACGCCTTAGAAGGTGGACGAAACCGAAAGCCGGACTACGGTCCACGTGAACCGTGAGAAGCATGGGATAAAAACTCCAAAAGACTAGCTTTTGAATTGGGCGAGACGTCTGAGAGTTCCTGCGGCGGCTATAAAGAAAGGAAAAAGCAAGATTCAAAGCATCACTACTTTTAGCCTTAGTTTTACCTTTTTGCAAGACTTGTTAGACGCTTTTGTTTTTCTTTTGTTTCTTCTGCGGCCGAATAGGGTCAGACACAGAAGACTTTTCTTTCTCTTGTTTTTGGCGTCTGCGTCTGACTCCTTCGCTTTTCGCTTTCGAATTTATTCAACTTCCGTTGGTTTTGGCATTGAACTTGGGGAATCCAGTACGGACTCCCACGCAGAGTCAAGCGAGACTTTTCACTTTTTCTATCTGCGCTACTTCACCAATCCAGATTCTTTGATGTTTGCGGGGATGAAATCAATTAAATTGCGTGAGCTTGACATGATGAGGAGCGGCTAATTCCCCCATCTACCCAAAGGTTGGCGCGAGGGCGCGGTCCATCACATCTGTGAGATCTAACCGAATCTTCATTATTTCTCCCAATTTATTGCTATTCGTGCGTTTCCTGAATTAATTGTTCATGGGTATTTTATTAATTGAATATCAACGGGCGGGTATTTGATTTAATTTAATAGCCTATTGCCACGTTAATTAAATAGAATCCGTAATTGTTCATTTAGCTAACACCTCGTGGCAACCACCATAATTGATTTTATGATGGGAAAACGCAAGATCTAGCTTAAATAAACCCTCTTAGCGTGTTTATTGGTTAGGGTTGGGTTCTTCTAGCTTTAATGCAATTGGATAATTAAATTCCTACGGTCGTACCTAGGGTTGTTATCTGGTTAGAGAAGCAGTCAATGGTCGTACCTTGACTGTCGAAAAAGTAAGGAAGAGCTGGTTGTCAGAGCTTATTGATGGCTATAATCAACCTAGTGATAAATGGATGAAATATCTTTGCATCGATGAGCATTTAATTGGACCGTGCCTGAGCAGTTGATCCTTTGGGTAGAACTTTTATAAATTGCTATTTTTAGTGAATTGTGCTTTGTGAGTTAGTTTTGAATTTTGTTTGTTCTATTTTATTTTATTTTTATTTGCCTCCCATTGAAAATCCCCCAATTTCGTGCTTTTAGTTTGGAAAGAAATAATTTCCTACCTGCTCCCTATGGAATCGACCCTACTTGCCATTGTACGCAAAATTAGTATTTTTATAGACGAATCCGGTATATCGGATCAAGCAAACTCTTCGGGAACAGGGTGAATCAAGTAACCCATTGCACATCTAGGGTCCCTGCTCCAGTACTTGGATTTGTTCTATAATTATTTAATTGAGGTGGTAATTAGGACTTTTTAGTAATTATTATTGCACAGGTTCGGCACCTGTCACTAATTATTCGATTTGGAAGCCTAGAATGGAAGACTACCTGTATTGCTGATATTTGTTTGAACCTGTTCTAAGGGATAAAGGTAGATCAAGTGATATGAATGATGAAAAATGGGCTGTTATGCACAGGAAAACTGTTGATAATATTAAAAAATGGATTGGTCAAAGTATTTTTCAACATTTTGCTAATGACACCAGAACTGATGTATTATGAAAAAAGTTTGAAAGTATGTATGAACGGAAGACTGATTTGAACAAGGCTAATTGTCTGAAGCAGATTTCTTGGATGAGATATAAATATGGGGAAGATATGACTGAACACCTGAGTAATTTTCAGGGATTGATAAACCAGGCAACTACATTCAAATTTGAATTTGGATGATGAAGTGCAGACTTTATTATTATTCAATTCACTACCGGACAGTTGGAAAACTATGGTGGTCTCCGTCAGTAATTCAGCTCCCAATGGTGTGTTGACCATGACTATTACAAAAGAAGCCGTGATGAATGAAGAGTTCAGGAGGAAGGAACAAGGAATTGTCTATGAGTCCCAAACCCTGGTGACAGAAAAGAAAAAAAGAAGAGAGAGAAGCAAAAGTAGAAAGCCCCACAACAGGAATGACAAATCCAGAAGCAGGTCTGAGTCATGAAAATATATTGCATGCTATTATTGTAAGAAGAATGGGCATTATATGAAAGAATGCAGAATCCTAAAATGGGAACAAACTGAGAAAAATGGTAAGGCGAAGGAAAAAGGTGATGAAGAGATTACAGCAGTTGTGGCAGCTCATGATGACATGTTTGTATTCTTTGATGATGGTCAGGTGAATATTATTCATTATGACAGTGATTGGGTAGTTGATTAGGGTGCATCCTATCATGTTACTCCTTACAGGCATTTCTTCTCAACTTACACCGAAGGAGATTTTGGATATGTTAGAATGGGAAATGAGGTCTCATGCAAAATTGTTGACATGGAAGAAATATACTTGGATACAGATACCGAGTGCCAGTTGATACTGAGAAATGCTCGACATGTCCCTGATATTCGCCTTAATCTTATCTCTACAGGAAAACTTGACGATGAGGGCTACTATAGCTCGCAAGGTGGAGGCAAATGAAATCTCAGCAAAGGAAGTCTCGTTGTTTCCAGAGGAAAGAAGTATAGTACCTTCTACGTGATGCAAACCAAGTTGAGGACGGGAGAAGTTAATGCAGTTCGTGATTCATCAATTGACCTTTGGCATAGGCGACTTGGGCACATGGGTGAAAAGAGGATTCAGACACTTGTTCGCAAATAGCTCCTACCTGAAGTTAGAGATAATGCACTTAAACCTTGTGTTGACTGCATTTATGGGAAACAACACCGAGTTGAATTTCAAAATTTTCCTCCATCTAGAAAATTGAATTTGTTAGAATTGGTGCACACTGATGTTTGTTATATGAAAGATAAGTCTCTTGATGGTGCTGTTTATTTTGTAACTTTTATTGATGACTTTGCTAGAAAAGTTTGGTGTTTTGTTTTGAAATCCAAAGATCAGGTTTTGGATGTGTTTAAAGACTTTCATAGCAAAGTTGAAAGAGAAACTGGTAAGCAGTTAAAGTGTGTACGTGCTGATAATGGTAGTGAGTACAGAGAACCATTTGAAATCTATTGCAAGTCCCGTGGGATCAGATTGGAGAAAACTATGCCAAAAACTCCTCAAGAGAATGGAGTAGCAGAGAGGATG